AAGTCAGAACTGGCGGTCAGTTTCAGCAGCAGCTGAATCTGGACGCCAGTTCCGACTTACATACAGATTCAACTTAAGAACAAACCTACAGTCCCTATCTTGTACGTAACCCGGGGACTGCCTGTAAAGTGATTTTGGAGAGCAGGAGTATACATTCTTCTTCTTCTGATGCTCAAATTGCTCAATACCTAATACAAAAATATGCATTACCAATAGTAAAACCAGGGCCTATATATACAATGAGTGTGTAACTGCATTGTTACATTCGTGAAAGCATTTTTTAAAAGTTTATTGACACTCCTTATTTTTTGCAATCTAATAAACATCATTTGTATTTGCCATGGATTTATATTGCCTCAACATTGCCTCAAAGGATGATAGTCTTATGAAGATGCTTTTTAGGAAAAATGTAATACATATTCATTGTGCACTTGGTAAATAAATTCTTCATCAGAACAAAATACGTTAATAAGATATGGGGAAAATCAGCTGACTACATTCTCCAAAAATAGCTGTGTGTGTTTGACAAAGATTTTTGAGTGGTGAAAATAAATGGCTAACATTAAATACTACGGATAATGGTGAACTGAGTTCATCCCTGTGCCATAACATGAAGCAATATTTTTTGTCATATTAAATAGTTAGTAAATAGATAATGGATTTCCACTGACTTGGAAGAAGTCAGTCAATTGAAAAGTAACGTAATATTTTATTGGGTGCCCTTTACATCTTTACTTATTTCACAAATGTATCTTTCAAGGATAATTACCTTTTTCTTTTTTACTTATGAAGTGTGAATACTCTAAAAGCTTTTCTTGGTGATATCAGTTCCTTCATGTCTGTCTTGTTTAACATGCAACTGATTTTGACAGGTATTCTTTTTATTGGTCTTATCTCCCTGGGGTAAACAAAGAGTATTTCTTTTGATGCCAATGAAGTTCCATTTGGTGAGAAGAGAGCCAAGTCCAACTAACTATATGATAATAGGTTTTCTAAAATCAACTTTATTCCTTTTCCACAAGAAAATGAACTAATGTTAATTTAAATGAATATAAAATGACTCAGATTACCTTTAATAGTGGTTCAAAGCCATATTCTGCCTTGGGGTAGTTTGAAAGTCCTATGCCTCACTCAGTGAGATATAATGAACTTAAAGTTCCTCTCATGCTCATATAGAGCAGGAGCAATTGTATTGAATGTAATAATCAGACTAGTATCAGAATACTATGAGATCAGAATTAGGCCCCAAACTTCCAATTATAAGGCTGCAGTGCTACCTTTATTGCAAGCTTCAGAGTATGCTTTTAAAAAACAAGTGTTTAGAGGCTACGTCCCTTCAGAGCCACTCACTGTATGGAACCTAGCAATGGTACACGGCTGGAGAAGTCCACTTGGCACTTGAGAGAACAGGGAGTTCCATTTTGAGGGATCCTGATTTAGTGTGTCGTGGGATGGGCAGGGGAAGTCTGCTTTCATGCTTCATCCATGCACTATGAAGCAAATTAAAACTCTTGTTTTCTACAGATATGATTACAAGTTATCTTTAATGTTTTACTAGGGTCTGAGGTGGCTGATTTTGATGGGAAAAGTTGCCTGATCTACAGATTCAATCAAAAATCTATGAGTGCACTCAAAGATGTCATTTCTCTGAAGTTTAAAACAATGCAAAGCTATGGGATTCTACTGCACAGAGAAGGACAGAATGGAGATCACATTACACTGGAATTAGTGAAAGGAAAACTTTCTTTATTCATTCATTTAGGTAATGACTATGAGACATACAGTCTTGCTGCCTCACATATGGTGTCAAGAATTCCCATTTATTAAGCCTATTTTAAGATATAGTATGTCAAAGTTAGTAACCTGTTTAAATATCTTTATTGGTTTTTAAAGGGAAGCTTACGGTTTGTTTGTTTTTCCTCATCTCAAGGTGATGGTAAAATTCATTCTGCTAATGACCAAATTAATATTACTCTGGGCAGCCTTTTGGATGATCAGCACTGGCATTCTGTCCTTATTGAACACTTTAACAATCAAATAAACTTTACAGTGGATAAACACAGCCATCATTTTCATGCAAAAGGGGAATTCAATTATTTGGACCTTGATTATGAGGTTTGAAAATACCTTTCATTTATTACATTTTTTACCTCTGTTATGTACATGCATTCAGGACAGGGAACTACACTGTATAAGTAATTTTGTAGTATTTTGAACTTTTGGTGAAGTTAGTATTTGGATCAGAGAAATGTCATCTTACCATAATTCTGCAAAACATTTCAGACACTGTGTCAATAGATTATCTCTTTGCTTATTATTGTTTATATTGCAGTTTTTAGTAACAACCAAATGCAGTGCAAATGTATAAGGGGCTATATTCCACCATCCTGAATATCACACAAAGTGGGTCAAAGGAACTCCACCTGACAAGATCCATCTCTGATATGTTTAAAATTTCATTTACTACGAATCCAAAAATTGTTCAATACATAAGTATCTGAGCCTCATCTCCCCCATACATCTTTCTCATTTCTGCTATTTACAGGTGGCTCTAAAGGAATGTGTATAATGTACTGCAGAAATTTCCAGCCTCTGGTCTGTAGAGTGCTGGCTGATTACATAGTGCTGGCTCTCCTCCTATTTTCAGTTGAGAGAAATAAAACAGGTGAATGGGGAAGTTAAAGTTCTTTGATCCTGTAAAGTGCTGAGCACTCTGGCCTGAAACCAGCCCGGTGCTTAAGCATATACTTAAACTGAAGCACAGAATAGTCTATTGACTTCAACTGGGACAAGCTTACAGTTAAGTCTGTGCATGCTTAAGGTCTTAGTTGGATCAAAGCCATGGGTCAGCACCATGCAGGGTCTAGCCCAAAATGAAGAATTGTAGCAGATAGTGTAATTATTTTTTTTTTAAGGAAAATACTTGTTTTCATTTTGTTGGCTAAAAATGCATAAACATGTTTCTAATATTACTTTACCATGTGAGTGATTGCTGTAACTTTTACAAGGATATAATAAGATAAAAAATGGGAGGAGACATCAGTCCAAAAATAACCCCTATATTAAGGTTAAGGTTTTCACACTATTAAAAAGTTTGAGAACTGCTGTTATTTAATATGTATGCCATTTACTTCCAAAATTTAAAGGTATGATTTTTGAGTTTTAAAAGAAATATACTTTTTCTTGGCTTTTTTTTAACCTAAAACTCCTAAAGAGTTTTTTAAGGAAAACAGTCTCTCTAAGGTTACATGGCTTTAACATGTACATATTTTTGTATGGTATACATTTTGTTAAGTTGTATTTTAAGTTACCACATTTGACAACAAAGAGCTAAAAATAGATTGATTCATAATTGGCTAACTTCTGATTGCTGCTGTTATACCTTTGTTGAAGTTTATCATCTGCTTTGCAAGCAGACTTTCAGAAAATTACTTAATAGTATTATTGATTTCTCTTCTCTTTCTAAGCTCAGCTTTGGAGGGATCCCAGCGCCTGGAAAATCAGGGACATTATCACGCAAGAACTTTCACGGGTGTTTTGAAAACCTTTATTACAATGGAGTAAACATTATTGATTTGGCCAAGAGACATAAACCTCAGATCTACATTATGGTAAGAGATTCCTACTAAATCAAGAAATTCATGCTACAATATGGCTGTTTCCATGTGAATTTCATCAGGTTGAGGATTTTCTATCTCCGTTCCTTTGTCCTAGAAGCAAATATAATTAGGATACTATAGCTGTAGGTATACCAAGGCCTGACATTGCTTCTTCTATCATATGGAATTATAGAGGGAGTTATCTGAGTACATCAGGGTTGAGTAAACACCAGAAGGATTTTTTTTTAAGCAAATAGGAAATACACTATTTCTCAGAGCGCTCACGAGCACTTTATCTTATACAGGCTACATCCAGCACTGGCATTTGCATCCTTTCCCCCATCTTACACTGCCTTGTGTCTGTAGAACTATAATTTAGCTTGATATATTTTAATCAAATTGTCATGATGCAACCAAGAGAGCTGATGGACAAACACTAACCATTTAAAGATTTTATTTCAATAAAACGTATCTGACCTATCTAAGCCTCAAACATCCAGAAATTTGGAAAACTCACTATTGCATGCTGCCTTGCAGGTGTTGTTATAATTACGGCTGCTTCTCTGAGCAATAATATCACAAGACATTGGAGGTAGTTTCAACATTAGTCAGAAGCAGAGCTGAAAAAATAACAACTAAAAATAAATATACAAATTACTTTTCCAACCTCAAAATTATTTCGAAGGGGGAGAGGCAGAGACAAAAATGTGGTTAAACAATCAGGTCAGTTCATCTCTCTCCCCCATGAATTGGAATATTTGATCCTTTCTCTGCTTTAATTTGTTTTACATGTTGTGTGTACCTGATCCAAAACATTCCAGCAGTTCCATAAAAATGATAGAAAACAAATGAGCAAATAATATCCGCTCTGATTACCCCTTTATGGGAAATTGTTTAGTAACATGTAGTCACAGAAAAATTGTACAAGAAATCAGAAATTGCATCTGCTTCATCTCAATATAAACAGCTGTATAGCTCGGATAGAGAAATATTTAGGAATTGTCTTAGGCTACATCTAGTTTAAGGGTGTTTTCTGGGATACTGAAGGTATCCTGGAAAAACTCCACAAAAACCCCTCTTTTCTGTGCCCCCCCCCCCCCTTTTTTTTTTTGTGAAAGAGCAGACGCACTCTTTCGGAAGCCCTATCTTCCTCCTTCCATGAGGAAGAAGGGCTCTTCCAAAAGAGGAGGATTTTCTGAAATTTAGCCCAGTGTAGCCGGGCCAAATTTCAGAAAAGCCTCTTCTGACAAAACTATTGGAAAAAGGTACAGAAATTGCGGAGCCATTTTGCATACCTTTTTCCGATAGATCATTGTAGTCTAAACAGCCTTAGAGTTGTGAAAGGGCAAGAAAGTGTCTGTGCTACTCCTGTTAAATAGACAGTGTGCTTGTTTGTCATGGTATCAGGCAGCTATCCAAATAATGTGAAAGGAGGCTTTGCAGATGGTAACACTTTCAGCTTTTAAGAAGATCTATTAGTCTAATGATTTGCCTTTTCACCCTGGATCAACTCAGTTTATTATTCTTAATACTTTTATGGTTGCATTCATAAATGGAGAGCATCTTCTGGCACCCTTACTGACAGTAAAAAGCAGAATAGAGAAAGCAAAATGCAGGACTATGTAGCACAGTCCTGCATTTTGCTTCAGCTACACCAGACTAACACGGCTACATTTCTATTACTAGAATAGAGAAACTTAGGGTATGTCTACACAGAAAAAAGTGTCCACAGCTAACCCGTGCCAGCTGACTTAGGCCTGGGTTGTGGAGCTGTTTCACTGAGCTGTAGACTTCCATCTCAGGCTAAACACTGAGCTCTGGGACTCTCCAATCTAACTGGGTCCAGATGTCTATACAACAATGAAACATATTGCAACCTAAGACCTGTGTGCCTAAGTTCGCTCTCACAAATAAGAGCAATGCAGGGGTTTCTAGTTGCTGTCTAGATATATCAGCCATAGGTGTTTAGTTGCTGCCTAGATATACCATTAATGCATTGTTGCAAGGACAGAAGCAAATGAGTGTTCCAGTTTCTCTCTGGATTTCTTGTAATAAAACATATTTTACCGATTTGTGGATGTATATTTTCTCAGAGGTGTTGCAGCCTGGTGTACCAGTAAGGTATAGTTCTACGTACCTTACAACATTTAAAGGTTGCTTGCTTAAAATATTGTTTGATTGCTTAAAACAAATTGTTAACCTTTAGACATACTGTGTGATTTATATATATAGCTTGAAAGATGACATCAATTGTTTAAATAATATAGTTCATATTGTCTGAGTACCAAGAGTCATAAAATGTTCACAGACTAGCTCTGTCTCCATATTGTGGAAATCTGCTGTTGCTATTCTGATCCACATATTTTTGTAGCACTTGTTATAATTCTGTTTGTATTATTGTTTGCCAACTGGGCACATAGGTTTTTGTGTTACTAAATTTGTGCTGCTTAGTGGAGTGTTGCTGAAGAAAAGCTTTTACTGCACAGATGTGAGCATAAATATTCCTCTTCTGGTCACCTGGTAGGGGGGGTGGGAGGAAAGGGAGGAGGTGGGTTACTGTAAAAATGCTGGTATGGCACTGCCTCCACTAGCACGTAATTTCTGGCTCTCTACTTACCTTCTCCAACAAGCCAGACAACAAGCCCCACCATTTAATGTTCAGTGAGGTAATTTGCTTTACTAAATGTGTGCTTTGTATTTGGGTGAATTACAATTATATCTGAGGGTACGTCTACACTACCCCGCTAGTTCGAACTAGCGGGGTAGTGTAGACGTACCCTCAGATATAATTGTAATTCACCCAAATACAAAGCACACATTTAGTAAAGCAAATTACCTCACTGAACATTAAATGGTGGGGCTTGTTGTCTGGCTTGTTGGAGAAGGTAAGTAGAGAGCCAGAAATTACGTGCTAGTGGAGGCAGTGCCATACCAGCATTTTTACAGTAACCCACCTCCTCCCTTTCCTCCCACCCCCCCTACCAGGTGACCAGAAGAGGAATATTTATGCTCACATCTGTGCAGTAAAAGCTTTTCTTCAGCAACACTCCACTAAGCAGCACAAATTTAGTAACACAAAAACCTATGTGCCCAGTTGGCAAACAATAATACAAACAGAATTATAACAAGTGCTACAAAAATATGTGGATCAGAATAGCAACAGCAGATTTCCACAATATGGAGACAGAGCTAGTCTGTGAACATTTTATGACTCTTGGTACTCAGACAATATGAACTATATTATTTAAACAATTGATGTCATCTTTCAAGCTATATATATAAATCACACAGTATGTCTAAAGGTTAACAATTTGTTTTAAGCAATCAAACAATATTTTAAGCAAGCAACCTTTAAATGTTGTAAGGTACGTAGAACTATACCTTACTGGTACACCAGGCTGCAACACCTCTGAGAAAATATACATCCACAAATCGGTAAAATATGTTTTATTACAAGAAATCCAGAGAGAAACTGGAACACTCATTTGCTTCTGTCCTTGCAACAATGCATTAATGGTATATCTAGGCAGCAACTAAACACCTATGGCTGATATATCTAGACAGCAACTAGAAACCCCTGCATTGCTCTTATTTGTGAGAGCGAACTTAGGCACACAGGTCTTAGGTTGCAATATGTTTCATTGTTGTATAGACATCTGGACCCAGTTAGATTGGAGAGTCCCAGAGCTCAGTGTTTAGCCTGAGATGGAAGTCTACAGCTCAGTGAAACAGCTCCACAACCCAGGCCTAAGTCAGCTGGCACGGGTTAGCTGTGGACACTTTTTTCTGTGTAGACATACCCTAAGTTTCTCTATTCTAGTAATAGAAATGTAGCCGTGTTAGTCTGGTGTAGCTGAAGCAAAATGCAGGACTGTGCTACATAGTCCTGCATTTTGCTTTCTCTATTCTGCTTTTTACTGTCAGTAAGGGTGCCAGAAGATGCTCTCCATTTATGAATGCAACCATAAAAGTATTAAGAATAATAAACTGAGTTGATCCAGGGTGAAAAGGCAAATCATTAGACTAATAGATCTTCTTAAAAGCTGAAAGTGTTACCATCTGCAAAGCCTCCTTTCACATTATTTGGATAGCTGCCTGATACCATGACAAACAAGCACACTGTCTATTTAACAGGAGTAGCACAGACACTTTCTTGCCCTTTCACAACTCTAAGGCTGTTTAGACTACAATGATCTATCGGAAAAAGGTATGCAAAATGGCTCCGCAATTTCTGTACCTTTTTCCAATAGTTTTGTCAGAAGAGGCTTTTCTGAAATTTGGCCCGGCTACACTGGGCTAAATTTCAGAAAATCCTCCTCTTTTGGAAGAGCCCTTCTTCCTCATGGAAGGAGGAAGATAGGGCTTCCGAAAGAGTGCGTCTGCTCTTTCACAAAAAAAAAAAGGGGGGGGGGGCAGAAGAATAGATGTGTTCTCTGGACGAGGTGGAGTTTTTCCAGGATACCTTCAGTATCCCAGAAAACACCCTTAAACTAGATGTAGCCTAAGACAATTCCTAAATATTTCTCTATCCGAGCTATACAGCTGTTTATATTGAGATGAAGCAGATGCAATTTCTGATTTCTTGTACAATTTTTCTGTGACTACATGTTACTAAACAATTTCCCATAAAGGGGTAATCAGAGCGGATATTATTTGCTCATTTGTTTTCTATCATTTTTATGGAACTGCTGGAATGTTTTGGATCAGGTACACACAACATGTAAAACAAATTAAAGCAGAGAAAGGATCAAATATTCCAATTCATGGGGGAGAGAGATGAACTGACCTGATTGTTTAACCACATTTTTGTCTCTGCCTCTCCCCCTTCGAAATAATTTTGAGGTTGGAAAAGTAATTTGTATATTTATTTTTAGTTGTTATTTTTTCAGCTCTGCTTCTGACTAATGTTGAAACTACCTCCAATGTCTTGTGATATTATTGCTCAGAGAAGCAGCCGTAATTATAACAACACCTGCAAGGCAGCATGCAATAGTGAGTTTTCCAAATTTCTGGATGTTTGAGGCTTAGATAGGTCAGATACGTTTTATTGAAATAAAATCTTTAAATGGTTAGTGTTTGTCCATCAGCTCTCTTGGTTGCATCATGACAATTTGATTAAAATATATCAAGCTAAATTATAGTTCTACAGACACAAGGCAGTGTAAGATGGGGGAAAGGATGCAAATGCCAGTGCTGGATGTAGCCTGTATAAGATAAAGTGCTCGTGAGCGCTCTGAGAAATAGTGTATTTCCTATTTGCTTAAAAAAAAATCCTTCTGGTGTTTACTCAACCCTGATGTACTCAGATAACTCCCTCTATAATTCCATATGATAGAAGAAGCAATGTCAGGCCTTGGTATACCTACAGCTATAGTATCCTAATTATATTTGCTTCTAGGACAAAGGAACGGAGATAGAAAATCCTCAACCTGATGAAATTCACATGGAAACAGCCATATTGTAGCATGAATTTCTTGATTTAGTAGGAATCTCTTACCATAATGTAGATCTGAGGTTTATGTCTCTTGGCCAAATCAATAATGTTTACTCCATTGTAATAAAGGTTTTCAAAACACCCGTGAAAGTTCTTGCGTGATAATGTCCCTGATTTTCCAGGCGCTGGGATCCCTCCAAAGCTGAGCTTAGAAAGAGAAGAGAAATCAATAATACTATTAAGTAATTTTCTGAAAGTCTGCTTGCAAAGCAGATGATAAACTTCAACAAAGGTATAACAGCAGCAATCAGAAGTTAGCCAATTATGAATCAATCTATTTTTAGCTCTTTGTTGTCAAATGTGGTAACTTAAAATACAACTTAACAAAATGTATACCATACAAAAATATGTACATGTTAAAGCCATGTAACCTTAGAGAGACTGTTTTCCTTAAAAAACTCTTTAGGAGTTTTAGGTTAAAAAAAAGCCAAGAAAAAGTATATTTCTTTTAAAACTCAAAAATCATACCTTTAAATTTTGGAAGTAAATGGCATACATATTAAATAACAGCAGTTCTCAAACTTTTTAATAGTGTGAAAACCTTAACCTTAATATAGGGGTTATTTTTGGACTGATGTCTCCTCCCATTTTTTATCTTATTATATCCTTGTAAAAGTTACAGCAATCACTCACATGGTAAAGTAATATTAGAAACATGTTTATGCATTTTTAGCCAACAAAATGAAAACAAGTATTTTCCTTAAAAAAAAAATAATTACACTATCTGCTACAATTCTTCATTTTGGGCTAGACCCTGCATGGTGCTGACCCATGGCTTTGATCCAACTAAGACCTTAAGCATGCACAGACTTAACTGTAAGCTTGTCCCAGTTGAAGTCAATAGACTATTCTGTGCTTCAGTTTAAGTATATGCTTAAGCACCGGGCTGGTTTCAGGCCAGAGTGCTCAGCACTTTACAGGATCAAAGAACTTTAACTTCCCCATTCACCTGTTTTATTTCTCTCAACTGAAAATAGGAGGAGAGCCAGCACTATGTAATCAGCCAGCACTCTACAGACCAGAGGCTGGAAATTTCTGCAGTACATTATACACATTCCTTTAGAGCCACCTGTAAATAGCAGAAATGAGAAAGATGTATGGGGGAGATGAGGCTCAGATACTTATGTATTGAACAATTTTTGGATTCGTAGTAAATGAAATTTTAAACATATCAGAGATGGATCTTGTCAGGTGGAGTTCCTTTGACCCACTTTGTGTGATATTCAGGATGGTGGAATATAGCCCCTTATACATTTGCACTGCATTTGGTTGTTACTAAAAACTGCAATATAAACAATAATAAGCAAAGAGATAATCTATTGACACAGTGTCTGAAATGTTTTGCAGAATTATGGTAAGATGACATTTCTCTGATCCAAATACTAACTTCACCAAAAGTTCAAAATACTACAAAATTACTTATACAGTGTAGTTCCCTGTCCTGAATGCATGTACATAACAGAGGTAAAAAATGTAATAAATGAAAGGTATTTTCAAACCTCATAATCAAGGTCCAAATAATTGAATTCCCCTTTTGCATGAAAATGATGGCTGTGTTTATCCACTGTAAAGTTTATTTGATTGTTAAAGTGTTCAATAAGGACAGAATGCCAGTGCTGATCATCCAAAAGGCTGCCCAGAGTAATATTAATTTGGTCATTAGCAGAATGAATTTTACCATCACCTTGAGATGAGGAAAAACAAACAAACCGTAAGCTTCCCTTTAAAAACCAATAAAGATATTTAAACAGGTTACTAACTTTGACATACTATATCTTAAAATAGGCTTAATAAATGGGAATTCTTGACACCATATGTGAGGCAGCAAGACTGTATGTCTCATAGTCATTACCTAAATGAATGAATAAAGAAAGTTTTCCTTTCACTAATTCCAGTGTAATGTGATCTCCATTCTGTCCTTCTCTGTGCAGTAGAATCCCATAGCTTTGCATTGTTTTAAACTTCAGAGAAATGACATCTTTGAGTGCACTCATAGATTTTTGATTGAATCTGTAGATCAGGCAACTTTTCCCATCAAAATCAGCCACCTCAGACCCTAGTAAAACATTAAAGATAACTTGTAATCATATCTGTAGAAAACAAGAGTTTTAATTTGCTTCATAGTGCATGGATGAAGCATGAAAGCAGACTTCCCCTGCCCATCCCACGACACACTAAATCAGGATCCCTCAAAATGGAACTCCCTGTTCTCTCAAGTGCCAAGTGGACTTCTCCAGCCGTGTACCATTGCTAGGTTCCATACAGTGAGTGGCTCTGAAGGGACGTAGCCTCTAAACACTTGTTTTTTAAAAGCATACTCTGAAGCTTGCAATAAAGGTAGCACTGCAGCCTTATAATTGGAAGTTTGGGGCCTAATTCTGATCTCATAGTATTCTGATACTAGTCTGATTATTACATTCAATACAATTGCTCCTGCTCTATATGAGCATGAGAGGAACTTTAAGTTCATTATATCTCACTGAGTGAGGCATAGGACTTTCAAACTACCCCAAGGCAGAATATGGCTTTGAACCACTATTAAAGGTAATCTGAGTCATTTTATATTCATTTAAATTAACATTAGTTCATTTTCTTGTGGAAAAGGAATAAAGTTGATTTTAGAAAACCTATTATCATATAGTTAGTTGGACTTGGCTCTCTTCTCACCAAATGGAACTTCATTGGCATCAAAAGAAATACTCTTTGTTTACCCCAGGGAGATAAGACCAATAAAAAGAATACCTGTCAAAATCAGTTGCATGTTAAACAAGACAGACATGAAGGAACTGATATCACCAAGAAAAGCTTTTAGAGTATTCACACTTCATAAGTAAAAAAGAAAAAGGTAATTATCCTTGAAAGATACATTTGTGAAATAAGTAAAGATGTAAAGGGCACCCAATAAAATATTACGTTACTTTTCAATTGACTGACTTCTTCCAAGTCAGTGGAAATCCATTATCTATTTACTAACTATTTAATATGACAAAAAATATTGCTTCATGTTATGGCACAGGGATGAACTCAGTTCACCATTATCCGTAGTATTTAATGTTAGCCATTTATTTTCACCACTCAAAAATCTTTGTCAAACACACACAGCTATTTTTGGAGAATGTAGTCAGCTGATTTTCCCCATATCTTATTAACGTATTTTGTTCTGATGAAGAATTTATTTACCAAGTGCACAATGAATATGTATTACATTTTTCCTAAAAAGCATCTTCATAAGACTATCATCCTTTGAGGCAATGTTGAGGCAATATAAATCCATGGCAAATACAAATGATGTTTATTAGATTGCAAAAAATAAGGAGTGTCAATAAACTTTTAAAAAATGCTTTCACGAATGTAACAATGCAGTTACACACTCATTGTATATATAGGCCCTGGTTTTACTATTGGTAATGCATATTTTTGTATTAGGTATTGAGCAATTTGAGCATCAGAAGAAGAAGAATGTATACTCCTGCTCTCCAAAATCACTTTACAGGCAGTCCCCGGGTTACGTACAAGATAGGGACTGTAGGTTTGTTCTTAAGTTGAATCTGTATGTAAGTCGGAACTGGCGTCCAGATTCAGCTGCTGCTGAAACTGACCGCCAGTTCTGACTT